CATTTGACTCTCCAAAATAGATAATTGGTATCTGAGAATAGAATGCTTGCAGCTGGAACAACACAAACAATTAGTTGCAGCCTGAATGATGAAGATTTACTGTTGGTACAGTCATGTTCATTTACACATATCTTCAGCCTCAATTCTATCTTTCCTCGGGGCAGATTAAAGCAGTTTGACCTTCATGACAGACCTGGTTAAGAAAATGTACTGATGTCGGGATCAAATTCATACAATTCAAATGGGTTCTCAAATGCATTTTGAGATTATAATATTCTTTGACCATCCCATTTATTATTTTCAAAGCGCTGTGTAAAATATACTATGCCATAACAAATTTATTAGAGATTAAATTAAGGTAAGAACAATGCCTTAGTTTCTTGGAAAGGGTTGGTGACATTAATGGCGAATGTAAATTTTTGATCTAATTACCCAGAGGTAAACCCGTTTGGTTTCTCACCTGTGGTTGGCCTTTTGTCTTTCTGTACACATGCGCAGTGAATGCAGAAGAGGCAATTGGCAACTGCATCCCATTATATCGCTGGTTGGAACTTTATGAAGCCCAAGTATCACATTATCACAAGGCACTACTGTATCTGAAAAATAACATATATATTCTTTTCCTTTACAGAATGTTTTTTTCATAATTACTTCAGTTGAAAATAGGTTGCTTTTTAACTTGGATTTGAAACTAAAGTCACAGAACTATAGGATATCTGAAATGTTCAGGCTGTGCTGTGGTGCCTTACATATGGTACCACATAACATACCTATCTAAAGCAATGATCTGAGGAAGATATGTTGTGTGTGATAAGTTCCTAAGAGGTTTAATTTAATTTTCAAAAATATAAGAACCATCAAACCATTGAAAAGGAGCTTTACTTTTTGTCTGAAGACTCCAATTATATTAACTTATTTTCAGCAAGTTATTGCAGTGTAGAAGTCACATTACAGTTATGGTCACTTTTTTAAAACATTTATGGAATGGGTTCTAATTTTTACATTTGTTCTTAAATGGAACAGAAATGGGTTGAACCCCCAAAAGAACAGTAATGGATAGTACTGTGCTTTACTGACCAGTGCTGTGTTCACTTAAACAAACACACGTGTGATGTACATTATCAGATTGGTGAACAGTAGAAAAGCCAAACTAGCCATGGAACAAAAACAAATGATTTCTTTTAAAAGGATGGCTTCCTTATCTGTTGCTGGGGGAGTACATTGAACAAACTTTCCTTCTCCTTTCTACGGACTCCATTGTAAACACCATCAAAAATCTGTTAATACATTCTCTTCTTCCCTCCACCCCCAGTTGCTATGAGAGCAATTAGGCAAAGAAAATAAGCTAATATTGCAATAACATATTCTGTTTATTAAAAATTACATGCTTGAAATAAACAAGCTAATTTTACAATTACGTTTGTATGCTTTTCCTATTAAGTTCCAGCACAATATAATTGCATCTGACAAACTGTGTAGAGTAACAAAATGCAGCAATGCACATTTCTTTCCTCATTTGGTCCATTCATGGCAACTGGACATTTTTTAAAATTAAGCGATACAACTTAAAGGAAGCCAGGTAAGGAGGGGCTGGATGGTTTGTCCAGCTTAACCAGCATCCAGTGTTAACCAAAGTTCCCTTATCTCCTCCTCCTCCTCATTGCTGTTCCTATTGGACGGGAAGGGGACCAATCAGCCGCAGCTCTATGATGGATCCCCTGAAGCTGCTTGTGAATGTTTGGGCTCCAGCCATTCACAAGCGGCTCCAGCTGTCAATCAATCGCAATTTGATTCCTCCCTTGTTTCTTCCATGTTCCACCCCCCCCCCCCCCCCCCACAACCCACTTGTGAAAGGCTGGAGTCTGCAGTCAATCAAATGGCAATTTGACTCCTCCCATCTTCATCCCAGAGCCGCTTGAGACACAGAGTGAGTAGATGCAACATTTTGTCTGAATTAACTGGCATATTTAAAACAGGTGAGAATACAAATGAATCCGGGGCGGACATTTGTCCGATTTACCCGGTGTCCGACTAAAGTGGCTTCCACTGTACTCGTGTTTAATTTCATATAATCAAGTGATGTGCATTGTACAAGAACTAGTAAAGATGTTAAGTCTTTAGCATAGATTTATTTAAGTGGAAGCTAGATAGGTATATGAGGGAGAAAGGAATAGAAGGTTATGATTGAAGGCTTAGTTGAGGAAGGGTGGGAGGAGGCTCATATGGAGCATAAACACCGGCATAGACCAGTTGGGCCGAATGGCCTGTTTCTGTGCTGTATATTCTGATGTATTTTAATGTATTTATAAGAACTAGTAAAGATGTTACAAGTTAGAAGTTATCTTCTGCTGGAATGTCAAAAAGCAGTGTTGCTTCACTGGCAGCATCATAGAATATACAGCACAGAAGGAGGCCATTCAGTCCATCATGTCCGTTCCAGCTCTTTGAAAAACGCCATCCAATTCAATCCCACTCCCTTGCTCTCTCCCCATACCCCTGAAAACTTGTCGTCCCAAAATAATTATCTATTTATTTTTTCAGCGCTTTGGGACGTCCTCTCGACGTGAAAGGCGCTCTATAAATGTAATTTTGTTGTTGTTGTACTTCTCTCTTCAAAGTTGTTATCAAATCGGCTTCCACCATCCTTTCAGGCAATGCATTCCAGATCCGAACAACTCGCTGTGTGAAAAAATGTTTTCTCACCTCCCCTCTGTTTCTTTCAACAACTATTTTAAATCGGTGTCCTCGGATTACCGACCCACCCGCCATCGACAGTATTTCAAATCTACCACCACTCAGCAGCAATCTGCTAGTTAAAAAGTTATTTTTAAAAATCGGCAACCCATAGAATATTTTAGCAGAAAAATTACCCATTTGGCCCATCAAGTCCATGCTGATATTTTTCTCACACACCACGTGAGCTACTTAACATAGTCCCACTCTCTTGCTTGTAGCTCATACTCTATTATTCAAATATTCTGTAGGACAAGCCCAGGGTGATATGTCTCTATCTCAACCTGTTTTACAAGAACGTTTGGTTTTGGTGCTGATGGATCTGAGTCCCCTCATCTGTCACTTCAGCTGATCTAAAGGAAGGTAGAACTCGCTGAATCTGGGCTTTACAAGAATAAATCCCGAAACCAAAATTAACTTGAAAAAATAATACGAGAGTACATTTCATTCGGCACATAGCATTCCTATAATAAATAAATGGTAGCTTTAAATGTAAAGGTTTCACAAAAGCAATGAGAAGATGTCCACCTTCTCTTGTTAACTTAAGACTCAATCAAGTATGATAGGGTCTTCCAGCCAGAGGGTGAGCCCTAAAATGACCAAGAACGAAGATTTGTGTTAACACTGAGCAGCTCAACAAAACTGTGCTTGTGAAGGTTAGTGTAATTCCAACAATTTCCCAAAACATTTTAAACCTGCCATTAAAGACAACAGAAGGAAACATTTCTATGATTTAAGTTTTTCATTTTTAGCTGGAACACTTGCTAAATGCACCAAACAATAAAAAGATTGCTGTCACAACTCACCATACTAGACTGTCCTTGTTTTAAATCAAAACGTCACCGTTTCAGAGCTGACATTTCTAGGCAATTTGCTGAACATAAATGTGTTTTTTTATCACCAAAATTCTTCAAGGGCATTGACCTAACAACCACACTGAATTACTTGAAATATTAAAGTTATTCATTGAATAATTTCTCAGGCTTAAGATGTCAATCACAATGAGTCATTTTTGAATACAATCTACCAAACTGGCTGATTTTTTGATCAAGGTCATACATAATCTAGTTACAGATACTTTACATCCCTTAGCCAGAGCTTTCATATTTGCCTGGAATATTTATTTTACAAAAATGAAACGTCTCAAAACGCTTCACAGAATACACTGTAAAGTGTATATTTTGTGGGTGAAAAGCGGCAGCCAATTGCACACAGCAGTGTCCCACAAACAGTTGTGGATTGAGTGACCAAATTATTTTTTTCTTTAAGGGATTATTACCACCGGAAAAGCAATTCGCCAATCAACTTACAACTGGGTTTTAGGAATATAATAGGAATATAAACAAATATTCATAGTTTCTACCATCTCCCCATTAATAATCCAAATTATTAACTTCTTAATTTGTGTTGCACCTCTGGCAATCCTATTGCACTTTCCTTACTGCACTACAGACCCTGTAATTGTGCACAGCACTTAAGGGTTCCCACTTACTGCTAGGTAAACAGAGGAGTAAGGAAACTTGCCCAACGTTTTGCCCAGCTGGGAATCGAACCCAGGTCCTCTTGCTTGCAAGGTCCTCTCGCTTGTAACAAAGGAAGGGATAGGGAACAGGGACACTTAGGAACACAACTAGGCATTCTTGTTAAAACAAGATGTCCTCATTTAGCTACACCGAATAGCCAAATTTTGGTAGCATTTGGTAGCAGAGACAATAGTTGACTTGCACACTCTTCCACAGATATCTCTCCGCCAAGCTCTCCTTTGCTCCTGACAGACCAAACTCCAGAACCATTCTCCTGCGGGCAACTGGTCCTCAGAACTGTCCACCCCAAGGAGTTTTTCCAATGGACCCAGCAATAGGAACAGGAGTAGTCCATTCAACCCCTCGAGCCTGTTCCACCATTCTATTAGATCATGGCTGATCTGTACCTCAACTCCAATTGAGGTAACAGTGCAGAACACTGTAGTTGGATATGCACATGCTCCCCGCTGATCAAGAAAACCTCCCAAACTAGGAGCCCACTTGGATACTATATAGCTCAAAGTTGAGCAGCTCCCTGCTACTTCTCCTCCCTCCGAATGGTTCTCCAATTGGAGTCAATGAGGCCCTCACAGCTTTGATCAGATTCTTCATTGCAAACCTAAGTACATTTCATGTACTTATCAATAAGTCACAAATTATTTCTGAATGCACAGTTGCTAATAAAATATCACAACCAATTCTAACGAATATTTAAATAATAAAAAGGCCAAAAAAGATTCTTACCTGAAAGTCTTTCTCTTCCAAGATTTCTTTTCTCCACTGAACGAGAAAAGCAGCACAGACATAGAGGTGGAAATGGGAAAACCCTTCAGGCTCCGACTGAAATAAAAATAATCACATTTTCCATTAGAAAAACGTCTCACCGTTCTTAAAATTTGTCTCTCTCAACATACCTCACACCTTTAATCCTTTTTCCTTTTCCAATATATGAACAAAAATGCAGAGTCAAGCAGATAGCAATCTCAGAAGCTACAACTAGTTGCAGTTAGAGGTATGTGGTACAATTTTATATCAAATTCAGATAACACCAGTTTTGCATGTAGAATCTACAGAATTAAAAAGAATAATCCAGACACAAAAATAAAAAAGACCCGATATTGATTACTCAAGAGACATAGTCCATGATGTAATGTTTGGTAAGATCCTCACACTTGTTTTCAAATCCCTTCATGCCGTGGCCCGTTTCGTCCGCTCGACTGTCTCTGGCCTTCTGCATGACCCTTGTGCCATCCGTTCCATCATTTGTGGGCGTGCTTTCATCCACTAGGCCCCGAAACTCTGAAACACTCTTCCTTTATCACTCTACCTTGCCTCTTCCTTCCCCATCTTCAGATCACGCCTGAAGACCTTCCTATTTGACCGTGCCTTTTGTCCCCTTCCCCCAGCTCGGCGCTATGCTCCGCCACTGACATGCACTCTGGGATGCTACCCTGTATGAGGGGCGCTATATAAATGAAAATTATTGTTATTGGTGTTGGTTGGAAGGAATTGTACTGTTCCAAAAGTCATAGAGTTACACAGTTATTCGGGGGGGAAGGGGGGGCTTAGTAAGACTCATCAGAGCCCCAATGAGCCCTAGTCACCAGCCGCCTTAATCATACTTGTGACTCCCTAAATATTGGACGTCAAGATTTGATAAAGCAAGAAAGCAAATTTCACGCCTAGTACAACAAACACAACAAACGTACTGCCACTTTTGAACTGCGTTTTAAATAGAGAAAAATGTCAAAATCATCGAACTGAGAAATTTCTGACACAAATCTGAAGATCAAGTTAGGTAACTTGACAAGAACCCCAGTCTGGAAAAGAAAATTGGAGCTTTATGAGTTTGTATGTATTTTGTAAGCATACTAAGAAGACTATTACCACACCAGCAGTATTTAAAGCAAATGTAAATAAGTTACATCAAGTCTTGTACTACAGAAATTTTTCATATCAATTGCACAACAGTTACCATCTGCTACTCTTCAAATAACAAAAACAAACATTTACTTTACATCCGTGTCTTCTGTATTGCAAGTAAAATGCACTGATCATCCTCAGTTTTATTTTTTAGTGATTTCACACACTAGATGCTCCTATTTATAATATATCCTTTAAGGAATACAGTTGTAAGAGTTGTAAATGGACCCAGTGCAGGAGGAACATGAATGCTTTTACTTATTTTTTTAAATTTCCTCATTACAGAATCCAGCAGCACAAGTTTTTTGACATTTGTCTTGTGTCTACAATTGTAAAGCAACAGGGAAATACATTTCAAATGGACTGAAATTACTCCTGGCCCTCTTGATCCAGCATGTAATTTCCCGAAGAATAGCAATTTGAATTCGACTACAAAAACTTTCCACAAGTTTCCAAAAGAAAAATGAGAATAAAGAGAACTATTGGATGGCTATCAAGGTAATTTAAATTAGATTATATTGAATGACTAAAAAATGTGTGGAGAAAATAGTACTGTATTTAAAGGAAGGTGGAACGCAATTTCCTTAAAATAAATCACAATTTCAGTTTAGCAGTTTCAAGTGTTCTATAGTTATTCTGCATTTTTTTCTGTTAATTTGTCACATAATGAATGGTACAGAATTGAGTAAAAGCAAGGAAGCACAAATATTGTCCTGAGTTTGTGATCAATTAATTGTGTTGGATCCGACCTGCCAAAAATATCTTAAGATGGTTCTGCACTATTGCAGTAGAAAGGAGAGATGGAACAAATGATTCAAATATCTACTTGGTTCTGCCCCCTCTTCCATTATCCAGGGAAGCTGGGGACAATGATACCAATCCAATTTCTGCCTTTGCTGAGACCATAGATGGTTATTTACAATTGCAATATTGATACATTTAAACTATTTTACTTATGAGTTATTACATTGGATAGCAAGTGTATAAAAGGTTACTCCATTTTAATTGAGATACTTCTAGATATTTTATTCTTGCTTTACAACTCAGATTCAGCCCTTTTCATTTGAGAACAAACTGTCATTGAGAATCAAACTTTGCCAAAGGCAGTTTATCGTCTGAGGGATCTTTTGACCGAGATTATCATAAAATAAAAAGATTTAGATTTTTGTGCCAAATTGAGATTACATTTTAGCACATTCAATATCTCAATCTATCTTTTATCACATTTTTTCCAATGAGATTCCAATGAAATTATTTTGGATAATTACATAATTGGTAGCTGCTTCCAGGAACTGAATTATACTTTAAACAATGAGATCATGCTGATTCGACTGACTTTTACATCTACATTTGCCCCAATCAGATTCAAGCTATTTTATATTGCAGAGCTTCTTCAACTGGAAGTGTCATTGTCATCAACTTGGTAAAACAGAAACCAAGTTAAGAGAAAGTATATTAAAAACAATATTTTTAATCTGTGATAAGTTAGAAGGAGAAGAAAGCACAAGTTTAAGCATATGAAGGAGATACTGGAGTAAACCAGGAAGTATTTCTTTACACACACCTGGAATGGGTTCAAAAGATTGGTTCAGATGAAGAAAGCCCTTTGCCCATAAGACCTTATCCTTCCAGAATACACGCCCGCCATCCTCCTGTCACAGAATCAAGCTGTGTTTTTATTTAAAAAAGGGTCCCAGTGTCCTGGCCTCAATCATCCTTACTGGCAACCCGAGGAAATTGCTAGAGGGTTTTAAAAATACGAGAGGGCTTTTTTTTTGTAAGTGTTACCCCTGAAGTTGGAGAGCATTTCAGTGTGAATGCTGAGGAAAAGGCTGTTTCAAGAAGAGGGAAAACACAGATTACTAATAAATCTGACCAATTGAAGGCTTTTAAAATCTCTATATCATAGGCTGCATTACTATATGGTGAAGGTGAATTGACCAGATGAATTTTAATGCAACTTTCATTTATAGAGCACCTTTCACACAGCATAGCATCTGAGAGTGCTGCAATGAATAATAATCATTGAACAGAAAAAACATTTCAATTAGTTATTTCCTAAACTCTGGGGGAAAGCCTATTGTCACAAACAAACAAAAAAAACATCAGGAGCAAATTCTGCGATGGCACATGATTTGAAACCTCTTGCAAGCATATTATTCAGGAAACTGCTTAAAATGTTTATTTTTATGGAAGTAGTTGTCACAGCCTGCTAGGAGATGCCTCAAACTTGTTGAAGGCTGTCAATCAAAGTATTAAAGGTTGAGAAGGAAGCACTGGATGGCACAAATAATGTCTCACTTTTTGCCATCAGACTACTCGTTAATATGTGGAGCTTAACTTCAACCACCAGTATTAACTATTTCATGTATCACTGTAATTACTTTTCCAGTTAATTCTCTGCCGAGTTGGATGATAACAATTAATTTATGAGAATAACAAAAGAAGCTCGAAACATTGCATGATCTGCATGGATCATTTTATTTATATTTTATTATATAAAAAAAAACCTGCAACAAAGTTATAGAGTTATTGTGTATAAATGTAACCAACAGTATACACAAATGGTCGTCAAAGTTAGGTCATTTTGTCATTTATTGTGGAGTCCTGTAGCTCAGTGGTTAGAGCACTCGCTTTGCAAGTGAGAGACCTGAATTCAATTCCAGGCAGAGGGCGAAACCTCGGGCAAGTTTCCTTACTCCACACAGAGCCTAATAATAATCCCTCCAAAACCAAAAACAGTAATAAATTGGTCATTTTCAATCTACGACTGTTTGTGGGACATTGCTGTGCGCAATTGGCTGCCGCGTTCGCCCACAAATATACAGTCAATTCACTTTACAGTGTGTTCTGTGAAGCGCTTTGGGACGTCCTCCCGACGTGAAAAGCGCTATATCAAATGCAAGGATTATTATTATTATTATTATTATGTTCCGAACTCTCCTGAGATTTTTCTTTGGAATCTGCATTTTCTTAAATCTAAATAAGCAATTACATTATTTTTAACTGCTGCATTCTGTCAGGTTACCATCTCCATCTGTTCACCAGAAACTTGCAGTAAATGAAAAAAAACGACACTGATAAAAAAACCTCTAAATTTGTAAATAAAACCTGTGATGTGCCTTTATGGGAACCACATATATAGAAAATTTAAATCTCTCAAGTTCCAAAATACTGTTTTCAAGTTTCAAATAATGAAATACCGCTGCATTAACCCAAATTATCTACAGCATAAACCTGTCTGATCCAAAGATAAATGCACTGCTGACAGGTGGAGTGAACAGTCTATTTTAAGGGTCATCCCATTGTTTGTGTCAGTTAGAATTGAGCTGCTGATAGGCATGGGATTGAGATTCAGAAGGATCTATCAAGTGTTTGTCTATAAATGAATCAACTGTATTATCATTTATTAAATGTCAATTTCAGTCAGGGACATTACTTTTCTCTTGGGATTTACTCCTAAATGTCATGGATCAACGGAAATAAAAACAAAATAGCACTACCGCAAACATTAATATGAAGCCTATAATCATCGAATTGACCTGCCATTTCCTTAAACGTATCATGTAAACTCCCCTCACAAAAAACAAAAGTGAATTTAATGATTATGTTTCTGGTCAATGTCTTCTGCATTCACATACACTTTTATTAAAACTATCTGCTACACATTTGTCGACCAGCTCAGCATTTTGTATTATCCAGCTGGCAGTGATTTTTTTCCTTCCGGCATTAAGAAAGCACCAGATTAGCTGTCAAACTAGACCAAGGATGCATTTGGACTATACTTAATATTATAGATATTACTGTAATAAATATATCAACAGTATATTTTATATCGATGGATCTTCCAATGCATCAAATATCTGCAATGGCAGATCTCTGTGAGACTACAAAATGTTAACTGCTTCACACCAGTA